GGGGGGGATGGTTGGTGTTGTGCATGTGCACCTGATTTGTTGAAGTAGAGCTTTACAGAATTTGTTTTTGTTCATTGGTAATAGTGGGCCTATATTACTATTATCATTTAGTTGTTCTTCCGTCGAAGATTTTAGCTAATGTGCACTCCTTTTATCATCATAAAATTCAAATTCATTGTGGGGGAAGTTTGTCATTTATGTGCAACCTGGTGGTTTTCTGTAAAAAGTGCATGCTACTCTTATTGTTTGTGAATCTGGATATAAATGACAAGCTGTTGCCTTCGGGTGTTAGTAGTCCTCTTATGCCCTTTTTTTCTTTGTGTTGAATGAATTATACAGTTTTCGTTGGTGTAGTTTTGTTTTCTTTCTTAATTTATTTATCTGTTCTCTTAGTGTAGGATGTCTTGTTCATTTTTCTTTTGTATTTGTGCCAAGTATTTGTTGATGCTAATTTAAGTGAAACTGTTGGGTGTGCAGCAAGATTTTTTTCGGAAGCTGATGGACCTGTTTAGGATATGCGATGATTTGGAAAATGTAGATGGTCTGCACTTGATTTTTAAAATTGTCAGAGGGATCAGTGAGTACACACTTTTAGTCCACCTTGGGTTTTGTTCTCCTTATGGTTTGACATTGATTTTAACATGATTTTGTATCCTTGCAGTTTTTCTAAATAACTCACAGATATTTGAGAAAATATTTGGGGATGAGTTGATTATGGATATAATGGGATGCCTGGAATGTAAGTCACACTGTCTCTCTTCTCCATGCTCCCTTTTCTTCTAACTTTATAGATCAATCTTCCCTTTACTCTTGCTTACACAATGATTGATCCGTTTATCCATTTTAAAGTTGGTATTCTGTAACTATAATTTTGTTGGCCAACCTCACTAGCATTTTAGGAGCATTTTAGAGTACAGTATGCTTTTCCTTAGGCATTAAAATTGTCTTAAGGCACTACGACTTGCAAATGCTACGGTTGGTGGTAGCCTGCTCATTTCTATTTAACTGCATGGTTGGTAAGGGAACTAGCTTGAACTTTGTTGCAGATGATCCTGACGTGCCTCAGGCTGATCATCGTAACTTCTTAAAGGATCATGTGGTTTTTAAGGAGGTAAATATGCCCACATTTTTCCTTTATGTTCACTCTTATCCACCATCCTGTAATGTCGTTGGTGAAAAAAACTTTTTCAAGTGGCGCTGGATGATAGTCATGTACATTTACACTGTCTTGCTTGGTGTTATGTAGGCAATACCCATTAAAGATCCTGTAGTCCTGTCTAAGATACATCAGACTTACAGAATCGGTTATCTGAAGGTTGTTTCTTAAATTCTTACTGTAAGTCACGTAATTCATTAATTTATCTGAAGAAATGCAATTTATATTTGTTTTGCTCATGCCAGGATGTCATTTTACCCAGAGCCTTGGATGACGGCATAGTTGCAAATTTTAACTCTATTATTCATTCAAATAATGCCATTGTAAGATCCGTATTAAGTTGGTTCGACTCTACTTATATTGTTTCTAGTTTGAAACTAAACTATATCATATTTTGCTTGCAGGTTGTTTCTTTGCTAAAAGATGATAGTACCTTCATCAAGGAATTATTTGCTAGGATGAAGTCTCCTACCACTTCTGTAGAATCAAAAAGAACATTGGTACTTATTCCTCACCCAAATCTTTTGCATCATAATATGCCATGAAAACAATAAATAGCAGCTCTCTTGTCCATAGACTTCACTTCTCGTGAGAATATAATTGGTTGCTCTTGTGCCCGGTATTGACAACAATGTGCATGCTCCACATGCTCACACTCATTATATTTCCCGAAGTGTATGTCAGCTTGGTCGTTGGTATTTTATTACCTAGAAAATTCATCATAGCTTAACACTACTAGAATTTTTTATCCTGAAAAGGACAAGTAGAATGACATTCCAAAAATTGTTATTATGTCCTTCAACATTCTACTTTTGCGATTTATTTTCTGGATGAACTGATAGCCTTGTGATAAATCACTTTCGATATGGACCCCAAATGATTTTATCGATGATTTGTGATAACAAATTAACAATGGATGTATGGCCAACTGTCATGTTTGTGAAATTTAGAGTAATGGTTGTAGAAGTTCTTACTGCCATGAGATTTTATATGTTGTCTGTGGAATACACTACCATTTTCATTTTTTTATGTGTCCCTCACAGTTTTGCTTCCTTGCTTGCTTGCTTAGTGCTGTATTCACATTGTGGAATCCTTAAGTATGATAAGCATACTTTTATTGCTCTCAATATGTCAATATATATAAGCTTATGTTTACTAGAGAAGCTGTAAAGCACATATACTGGTAGTTCTTGTAATCCTATATTTCCTAGATCATATTCTTCCTTCCCTTTATCTTCGACATGAAGGGAACATTCAGATAAAAGAGGTGTCTTTAGGCTGTTTTTTGAAGTGTTAATGTGTTAATGATGTTCCTGTTTATTTGCTGATCCTTCCACTGTCAAGGTTTTTATAATTTTATCTTCACTGCTTGGTATACTAATATTCTGAGTGGAGAAGGATGTATCTTATTTGCTAATATTATAATATTGACTAAGAAACTGACATTGTCCTTTTAATACAGGTATGCTTTTTGCATGAGTTCTGTACCTTAAGTAAAAGCTTGCAGATGGTGCATCAGCATCGGCTATTTAGGTACTTTGGCTGATGCATCTGTTTCCTTTTTGTGATTTACTTGATTTATATAATCTACAATATTGTTTCAACTATCCACATCAAACATTGTCAACAATTTTCTTGTGGTTTGGTAATTCAGTCTGTCCTGTATGATGTTTACAAATGCAGGGATCTCGTCAGTGAAGGCATTTTTGATATCCTAGAAGATGTTCTGCGGAGTGAAGACAAAAGGCTTGTTTTGACAGGGTAACAAAATAACTGACTTGAAATTGAACTTGCAATATGTCTGGCTGGACATGAGCTACTAAATATTATCTACCATTTGTTTGTGGTTCAGTTTAGTTGTGATCACTTCATTTAATGTTTTTTTCGTAATGGTTGCAGGACAGACATCCTTACTCTTTTCCAGAATCTTGATTCAAATATTTTGCGTGCTTATGTGGCTAGGCAGGAAGGTGATCTTTTTGGACTTCTGGTGAGCAGTGTTGAAGTTTGTATCTTTATGATTTTGAAGCAACCTTCTCCTGCATACAATGTTCTAGTTGAAAGCAGAAAATTGATGATTAAGTTGGACAATTCCTTCAGGCAGCGTGTTAAGCAGACTTCCTTCATGATATGCTGGGGTTGAATATATAAAAAATGTTGTCGAAAGGTCAAGGAAAAATGATCTAAGTTTTTAGATTTACGTATAACTAGCCTGCTACCTCCTGCCTTTATTTCCAGTGGGAATGATATATGTGCTTGTAGAGTATACCACCTTGCTTTTAAGTTAAGGTAGAAGTGGGTGTATGACATAGTACATGAATTTTACGATAAACAAATAGAGGACACCTGAAGCTGTCTGAGGTCTCATTGAAGACAATCTTGGCTGAACTCGTCTTTATATCTGAACTTCTAAGCATATAGGATATTGGGTAAACTCTGATCGTATGCTGAATTGCTTGTAACAATGCCTGGGATTGTCATATTGTCGCCATGGAGGTATGGCGTGGTGGATTTGTGCCTAACTGCCATTAGAAATTTGTGAAGGATGGTGGTTATGTTGACGTCACAGGCTGCCATGGTGGGATTTCAGCTTGTCGCCATTTTCTGCCATCCCCAATTGATAACACTAACATTTGCCGTGGTGCAACACCTTGGAACATTCACCGTGAACTTAAAATATTCGTGAAGCCAGTGGGGTCATGAGATGATTATCAATATGGATGGATTCCATACTTCCTTTTCATTTTTCTTTGTCCTTCAATTTTTTTCTCTTTTTTTTTTTTCTTTTTCTTTTTGGGGATGGGGGTGGTGCATTATAATTTTGTTATATTTGTTCATCTGCATATTTACTGCCCCACCCGAGCTGAGGTCTGGGTTAGTGGAAATTGTCCAAGGACTTTCTCAGAGTCATTTCAGTCTTTTAAGGAGGTAAAATTTATCCTTGACTTGCAGGTTAAAAATATGCTAACAGATTTTGGAGACGACATGCACTGGCAATTTGTTGAAATTCTTCGCAGTCTTCTGGAAGCACCTACACCAGGACCTGGACCACCGGTATATTAGTAGTACAAGTGGTTTTCTGAAATTTTATTTCATTGATATTATATTCCATCTTTCGGACAATGTGTCTTTCTTGTCAAATGTTGCTCCATGGTCAAGTAACATAGATCAGATATCACCAATAAGCATGTTGTAGCTTATAGTTTTGCTCAAAACAAGGATCATACAAGATTGCTATGTAACAAATAGTATTATGCACGTGTTATTTGAGTCAATATTCTGTCGTACTTTTCCTAGTGTTCCTCTGACCACCAATTGCTTGTGGAATTTAGTGTTCATATGTTGTTTTGATGTTTTTGGGGTTAATGTTGCATCTGTAGCTTCATAAATATACACAATCCCAGTCATGTGCATGAATCTCAATTTAATTGCAGAGAGAAAACATAGTGGAAATTTTCTACGAGAAGCACTTGGGTCAATTAATTGACACAATAACATCGTCATGCCGTGCAAACCAACATGGTCAAATTGGGGGCAATTCTGGGAGCTCGGATGGAGAATCCAGGAGTCAAAGTGATGTGAAACCTGAGATATTATTAAACATTTGTGACCTGCTATGCTTCTGTGTTTTGCAACACCCTTTTAGGATAAAGTAAAGTCATATTCTCGCTATGACTTCCTTACTGTCTCTTAATGCAGAATTTACTTCCCAACTTATTATACATTTTCGTTCTGCAGATGCAATTTTCTACTTAACAGTGTAATCGATAAGGTTTTATATTTGACGAGAAGAAGAGAGAAGTATCTTGTAGTTGCTGCTGTAAGATTTGTTCGGGCACTTGTTTCTCGTAGTGTAAGTGGATTGTATTGCATTCATTATTGTGAATCTGATTTGTAGAATCTCCAACCAATGGCAGACATTATCTCATATTTCTGATTTTCTGGTATTTACTATTTTGTCATCCCTTGGTTCATAATATTTGCAGGATGAACACCTGTTGAAACATCTAGCAAAGAACAACGTTCTGAAACCAATAATAGATGCATTTGTTGCCAATGGGGATCGTTACAATCTTCTAAATTCTGCAGTTCTTGACCTCATTGAATTTATAAGGAAGGTGTGTGTATCCGCAGCATATTTTTATTGCATCATAAGATGCACGTCTTTTCTGAAGAGTTCTTTTTGAAACATGTCCTGTCTTCTGCAGGAGAACTTGAAAGTCTTGATCCGATATCTGGTTGATACTTTCTGGGATCAATTGGTTAAATTTGAAAGTTTATCCTCTATTCATGCTCTCAAAGTTAAATATGAACAGGTACTTTTTATATATTATTATCACTCTTATCTGTTACCTCATTTTATTGCGCACAATTAACATATTGTGATTTCAGTCTCTCGAAAGCATGGGCACAACAAGCACTGCTAGTTTATTAGACCAACGGAAACGACTTGATGAACGTGCTTTGGAGAAAGAAGAGGAAAATTATTTTAACGAGGACAGGTGGATTTTTATTTGTTGATCTGTAACATAATTGTGTTAAAAATACTGCTGAATGATCTGAACTTTTCTTTGTAAAAAAAATTCTTGTTACCCTCGTTGGCCAATTTTTATTCTATAGTTCCACTTTGCACCATCGTTGTTAACTAACAAACAACCTTACCAGTGATGAAGAAGATTCAGCATCTGCACAAACGGGCAGTAACAGACGCCTGTCTCAGCTTCCAGTGTTGGTTAACGGGGCTCCAGTGTACAAAGCGTCACCCAGGTAGTGTGTTGCTTAACTGACTCATTAATTTATATCCGAAATAATAACAAAAACCACATGAGTTTTGATCTAATTAGAGAAAAGAAACACAGTTATTTACCAAAATTACAAATTTCGCCCTATGTTGTTAAAACATGCTTTTAGGTTTACTGTTTTGCAGCTCAAACAAATTTTCACTAGAATAGAATAAAAAAAAAGAGAGATGTATCCAACGGTAGTTGTAATTTCTCTTTTGCTTTTTCTTTCCTTATATTTTTTGGAAAATGATCGACAAAGTTTTTACTCGCTTTTTTTTTTGTCTTTGAATTAATATGTTAAGCTTAATTTTACATCAATAATTGTAGATCTGGTGGACTTGTTGACTACGACGATGATGAAGATGACGAGGATTGGAAGCCCCCTCCCAAAAAGATGAAAGACAAATCTGATGAAGATGAGGGATTGACAGATTTCAGGTTGAAACGTAAATTAGTCTCGAAGGAGGAGCCTGAGCCAAAAAGGATACAACTTTCCCCAAGAGGCGGCTTAAAACCGAGAGGAGGGGGTGTTTTTGCTGCCTTGTGTTCCACCATAAGTGAGGCTGTACTTCCCAACAAGAAAATAGCAACCACAGCACCTAGCAATGCACTCCCAAACACAAACCAAAACTCAGTCAAACCAGATGAGGAAGAGAAGAAAGCTGTTGGTCCATCCGAGAATACAGATAAAGTGGACCCCACCAACAAGGTAGAAGTTCCTAGAAGCGTCACTGACAAATTTGATGAGTCAGATGATAATCGGATAAATGGTGACGAATGCCCTCTGTTGCCGACAAATTCATCACCAGAAATGGCTGTCAATGGATCTTGAGTTATATTTTTCTAAGGGGTGAAAACGCATAAATTTTTCTGCATTTGGAAAGATAGGTGACCCCCTCCCAATTGCTTTTTATGGAGCTTAGCATGCATTGCCAGATCTTTTTTTGCTAAAGAACTCGAACAAAAATGGAAAGGAGCTGACGAAAGAACAATAAAAGAATGAAGAAACCCCTAAAATATTGGGAGACGATACTGTACAGTACTGGTCTGCGAGGATGCTGGAGACTTTTGGGTGGTAGGTTTTTCCTTATTTAGGCTTGTCATGATTTCAGCTGAGTAATTTGTCAGCATTGTAAGACTTCCATAACTTTAGCCCGTCTGCTAATACAAGTGTTTTTTTCCCTGCTTATGTTGATAGTTTGAATTATAATGCGATACAGATAGGACAACAATCTTGTCTTGCGCGCATTGTTATATCTCAGGCAGTTGTATGTTGCTGTAACATGGAAAGTATTTTAGGGCCCTTTTCTGGCCGAATTTTGTGGTTTGATGCTCTTTTTCTTATTGAACTGGCAAGGAAAATGTACATTGTGTTGTTTCAAGACTGCTGTAACGATTCCCAAGTAGACGCATTTAGTGTGATAATTTTGTTTTCGACACTGAACAAGATGAGAAACACGATAGCGGTGCTTTAGTTTAATCTTTTTGTTTGTGGAAAATGCCATTTTACCTTTTGTTTAGTAAATCAATCGAGGTTTTGAAACGGGTGATATATTTGTGTGAGACTCCTTTTTCTTCTCAACTTGAGTGGTAGTGTGCCTTTGAATGTAGTAGTAAGTGCTTGCCTCCTCCCTTTATTTGATTATGCATCCCTTTCATAGTTCATGCATTTAAAATGATAATTATCATTTCAAAATTCACAAATTTGGAATTGCCGGTACTGAGTTGGCAACACCTTATGAAATCCTGACTGGCCGGCAACATCATATGGGATCCGATGAGTGTTCCTGCTGGTATTGGGCCGACAACCGTGGGTGAGAAAAAAGAGTTGCGATCCACAATCTCAATAGTGCTGGATAAATCTGCAGTGATTTGCAGGCGATCAAGGCTTCTCTGCAATTGGAAAAATCTGCAGTAACTTGTAGGCGATCAACGCTTCTCTGCGATAGGAGAATGGTTAGTATTGAGTGCTCGAACTTTCTGCAAAGTATTAGAATATCAACAACCCCATTCATTGAAGCATCTACGACAATTCAAAAAAATGCGAAAGATCGTGCATAAAATATCAACACCTCTACAAAGTATAAAAAATATCTAGAACGCAATAAATATGTTACATAACATAAAGTCATTTATGTTGTGTGTACGGAAAAATATTAAAATATCCAACATCTCTTATTTTACAATAATTAAACTTGTAGAATGATACTGTAGTAGGAACATCTAGATAATTTATTAAAGGAAGGGATGAGATAGATCTAGCTACATGAGATAGATTTAGATAGTTTATTAGTGGGAGGATGATTATAAATAACCAAAATCCTCTTTTGCAACCCATCCTATTATTAGATAGTTCTGATGCCATACGCTGCTAAGCAAGCACATTGTACAAAGCCATGGCAAGAAAATATTATACCTAACAGACACTTAATCTAGACATCTAATAGAAAAGAATGACTATAAATAAATCACATGTTTGTGCTACGTGATTGTCATAATAAAGTAATGAGGTGTTAGCACCTCTGGATGAGGTGTTAGCCAACCTCCAGAGATGCTGGAAGTTGCGCGCGGTCAAGCTATAAGTGCAACTTTTGTAATCTTGTTAAAATTTTGAGTCAAAACTTTGTAATCTTATTGTTAGAAAATCTTGTTGTTAGAAAATGTGTTATTTTTTTATTTTTGTTTCCTAAGAATTTCGAAAATAAATCTTTTGTAATCTTGTGGTTAGAAAGATATGTTATTTTTTTTATATTTTTTCTGTCTTTATGGTAGTTTTGTTTTGAGTATAAGCTAGTAAAAACTATATTAGATTATAAGTTTTTTTAGTGTTTAAATACTCTTGTATTTTTTTTTTTTTTTTTGGAAATTCTATAGTCCTATTTTCATTTTCAATAATATTTTGCCACATCATCTAATAACCATGTACTGAGAATGTATAAACTAAAAATTCCGCAATATAATGGTTAAGTATTAATTATAGGGAAATGCTACAGTCTTGTTACGAAATCATTCTGTCGTGATTTGTAACCGTTATCATCATATAACCGTCGTGGATAGTTGATCTAACGTTACAAACCCCGACAGAATGATCCCGTAACGGGGCCGTAGAATCTCCATTAATTATATATATATATATATATGTGATAGATAGAAATATTTGATGATGATGATAACGGGACTCTTACCAATTAAAATTTTTGATGATGATAGAAATCATATATTGACTAGTACACAATAATTACATGTCTTCAATTAAAATGTCTTCAATTAAAATACTTTTTTGTTAGTTAAATAAAAATAAAAAATTATGAAAATAAACAATTAATTTTATTCATTCCTTTTGCTAATTGACATATAAAAGGAATGAATAATTAGTCTTTTCTTTTAAATATGTTCTAGTACGGATATCATAAGATGCACGGGAAATAGATAATCATTCAAAGTTCTAAATTAAAAATTTTCATTATATAATATTTATAAATTAAAAATATGGAATCAATATGTAATACAATTTATCTATATTTATTTAATTTATAAAAAATGTTACGTGAAATTTAAATTGTGAAAAATTATATAAAAATATGTCTATTTAAAATCAGTATACAACCTGTGTGGTGCACATAACTGATAATAAATTATATTATATTCATTTCAAATTAAGTGTTGTTTTAGAATTTTTATTCAGAAATTCAGTTTGACTTGTGATTTCATAAAATAATTATTTTGGTAAAATTTTATTATATATTTAAAAACCTATGTGAATATTAAGTATAAATATAAAACTTATATTTTTTCTTAATTAAAATAAATTTATTTTTGTATAAACTATCCAAATCAAAAAAATTTAAGTAGTTGAGTAATTTATTATTATATACCCACTAACATGATTTTTTTTTTTTTAATAACACCATAGGTA